AAAAAAAAAAAAACTTTAGCATTTTTTTTTTTTTTTTTTTTTTTTTTTTAAATAGAAAGGAAACTCCCCCCACAACACCTGCTGTGCACCAACACAACCCAAAAAAAGACTTGATGCATCCCCACAAACTCTTCCACATCTACAGTTTGTCTCTGTGCATGTGCGCACGCAAGTTACTTCTGCGTCATCGGTGATTTCAGATTCAGGCTCTCTCGCTCATTTAAAAATAAATACTTGCATAAAAACACGTCCAAGTCGAGAATGAAGGCAGCAGGAGAGGAAGATTAAAAATGGCCCAATCTGTTAATGAGGTGACTTGTTGCTGCGCCGCATCTTCATGGCAGATTTTCAAGACTCACTCAGACTGTCTGTTCCCTTTAATCGGTGCAGCAGTCAAAAAGTCACAAATGTCACAGCTTCGTATTGTCATAATTCATGCGTTTGTTTCCATCTGCGCCTGGCGGCTAATAGGAAGATAAATCATGTCTGAAACTGAATGTGAATGTCTGACTAGCAGCAGCAGAACCAGAGAACATAATGATCCTCACCTCTGAGCTGTCACATCTAAGCTAAATATGATAGCATCATTAACACACCGGCATTTATATCAACAAATCTCAAAGCTCTAACATGTTTTTCACTCAGTAATCAATCTGAAAGCTTCTAAGTGCTCTACTTCAGATGGCAGTAAATCCTCCCTTTTTTCTCCTCTGTTTCCTCTTATTTACAATCTTTGTTACATCACCAGTTTCTTCTTACTCTGCTCATGTCTTCATGTTTTCTTGCTTTTCTTTCACTGAACCACTAACCATGACATGGCCAACCTCTTTTAATCTGTTTGTTTTGTCCTGATAATTAATCCATGCAGATCAAGCAGTCGTTCCAAGAAGGTTGTGGGTTCAAAGCCCGGCAGGGCATTAGGCTTTTCTGTGTGGCAGTTGCATGCTCTCCCAATATAAGTGTTTTTTTTTGGGGGGGGGAGGAAGTTAATCCAGCTCTATCCAAACATCCAAAGAAAATGCATTTTAAGAATATTGTCCACAATAAATTTTAAAGTTTGCAAACATGAATGTTAATAAGGCAACCAGTGCAGGGTGAATCCTATCGTCTGCTGGAGATATTAACCAGCTCTAAAGAACCAGATTTAAGCATTAATGGTTGAATGGATGCACACTTTCTGTCCTTAGGTTGAATTTTTCCTGTGTATCTGTTAAAAA